ATTATTGATATTCATAATTTGTGTCTCCTCTTTTTTTTTTAAATCGTACACACAGCAGCACTATTTTAAAAAATTAATTAATTAACTTATTTTTGGCTGTGTTGGGTCTTTGTTGCTGCACGTGGGCTTTCTCTAGTTTCGGCGAGCAGGGGCTACTCTTCGTTGCAGTGCACGGGCTTCTCATTGCGATGGCTTTTCTTGTTGCAGAGCACGGGCTCTAGGTGCATGGGCTTCAGAAGGTGTGGCATGTGGGCTCAGTAGTTGTGGCTCACGGGCTCTAGAGCGCAGGCTCAGTATTTGTGGCGCACAGGCTTAGTTGCTCCGCAGCATGTGGGATCTTCCCGGACCAGGGCTCAAACCCGTGTTCCCTGCATTGGCAAGTGGATTCTTAACCACTGCGCTACCAGGGAAATCCCTCTTTTTTTTTTTTATTTCATTGTCAGTCTGGCTAGATATTTATCAATTTTATTAAACCTTTCAGTGAACAAGCTTTTAATATCACTGATTTTCTCTATTGTCTTTATCCTTTTAATTTTATTGATTTCTGCTCATCTTTACTATTTCCTTTTTGTGCATCCTTTAGATTTATTTTACTCTTCTTTACTACTTTATTTAATGTAAAAGTCTGTTATTGATTTGAGACCTTTCTTATTTTTTTAAATATTCCTAGTATGAATGTTTAACGCTATAAATTTTCCTCTAATCACTGCGTTAGTTGCATACCATAAGTTTTAATATGTTCTATTTTTATATTCAGTTCAAAATATTTTCTAATTTCCCTTGAGATTTCTTTCACTCATGGAGTATTTATGAATATGCTGTTTAATTGTTAACTATTTGGAGATTTTCTAGTTATTCTGATATTGACTTCTAACTTAATTCCATTATTTTTAGAGAACATTCTTTATATGATTTCAATTCATTTATATTTGTTAAGATTTGTTTCATGACCACGAATGTAGTCTATATTTGTGAATGCTCCATGTGCACTTGAAAAGAATGTGTATTCTGTTGCTGGGTAGAGTGTTTTATAAATGTCGATTAGATCCCACTGGTTGGTGGTAACGTCCAGTTCTTTATCAATGGTTCTCATCTGGCAATTTTGCCCCTCAGTGGACAGTTGGCAATGTTTAGAAACATTACTGGTTTTTCAACTAGTGGAGAGCTACTGGCATTTAGTGGGTAGAATATTCTTACTTTCCGCTGCTAAACATCCTGCAATGCACAGGACAGGCCTTTCCCCCATCACCACCCCATCCCTGCCAACAGCAAAGAATTATCTAGCCCAAAATATCAACAGAGCCAAGGTTGAGAAACCCCATTCCTTGCTGATTTTCTCTCTAGTCCTATTGATTACTGAGAGAGAAGTATTGATAGCTCCAACTCTAATTGTATATTTGCCCATTTTTTCTTTCAATGTTATCATTTTTTGCTTCATCTATATTAAAGCTCTCCTGTTAAGTACATCTTTTTCCATTCTTTTAGTTTAACTTACTTTTGTTTATTTAAAGTGTTTTTCTTATAGATGGCATATAATTGGTTATTTTTCTTTTATAATCCATTCTGAAAACTATCCATTCCGATTGCTCTGGAGACTAAAATATACATACTTATCTTTCTACAGCCTACTTAGAATTAACATTTTACCACTTCCAAAGCAATGTAAAAATCTTACCTACCTTACAGGTGTCATTAACTTCCCCCATTATGCTGTAGTTGTCATATGTATTCCATCTACATACATTGACAGGTATAATTTTTGCTTTCAACCATCATTCCTATTTTAAAGATTGTAAGAGGAGAAAAACAGCCTATTATATCTACCACATATTTACATTTCCATTGCTCTTCCCTTATTCTCAAGGTCCAAGCTTCCCTCTAGTATTGTTTCCCTTTCATCTAAAGACTTCTTTTATCATTTCTTCGATAGCAGCTCAACTAGTGGCAAATCTTTTTATTTTTCATTTATCTAAGAATGTCTATTTTGCCTTCATTCATAAAGGATGTTTTTATGTACTGTCTGGCTGACAGTTCTTTTTTTTCAGCATTATTTTAAAAATATTTTTCCAGTACCTCTGGCCTTCACAGTTTCTAGTGAGAAACCTGTAATAATTTGTATGCTGTTCCCCTGTAGGCAACGTGCTGTTTTTTTCTTTAATTTTTGCTTTTATTATGAGCAGTTTGATAACGTCTGAATGTGGATTTCTTTGAGTTTATTTATCCTGTTTGCAGTTCACTGAGCTTCTTGAATCTGTAGTTTTTATGTCTCTCACCAACTTTTGGAAGTTTTTACCCATTTTTCCTTCAAATATTTTTCTGCACCACAAGCCTTTATCCTCTTCTTCTTCTAGGATGTATCTTTATATCTATATTGATATATACATGTATATTTTGAGCAGGTAGTCACAGGCTACAAGTTCTGGCAAACCTTCTGTAGATTCTGCAGACTACGTTTATAATGTCCATTCAGTTTGCAAAGAATTTACAGTACTATTCGAATCAGCCCTTCATGTTTCTATCCAGGCACCAGTCTGAAACCTGCACAGTGCTCAATTCACAAAGCCTTTGGGTTCAGGGTTTGGGAGTAGGTACTCAAGACCCTGTTCAGGGTTTGGTCTATTCGTGGGCAGCTCAGGGTGTATATCCTGGAGTTCATATACAACTTTATTAAACTCTCTCCTCTTTGCAATCTCCCCAACACTTTGTGGTTCCCAGGAGTTGCCCTCCCCTCCTTGGTCTTCTGGCTAGAAATCCAGGGAACTTGTTTTCTAAATCTGTTGTGTACTTCCTGTCACAATTTCTCTCTCCAGGGCCAAGTAGCAGTGGGATAGAGAGAAAAAAAAGCAAACTTCCAAACACTTGGGACAACAGTTTGGTCAAAGACAATGGTTCTCCCTGTTTAGAGTTTTAAGTGCCTGCATGCCTGACTCGAGTGATACAGGATTGCCTGGGGCTGAGGCAGAAGAGAATGGAAAAGATGAATAGAAAAAAACGGGATCTCCCTCTCCCTCACCCTGACCCTAAAAGGCCCCGTCTCCCTGTCCTTGGCCAATGAGGGAGGTTTTTGTTGGAAATCTGTCATCACTGGTGCAAAGTTGGTCTTACTTTGAGTTACTTCTCCAATCTGCCTTATACCATTTATCTTCAGAGTCCTTGGGCCTTTTGCTGCATTCAGTGGGTGAGACGGGCAGAGCGCACTTACTCCATCTTAACTGTGACTGGAACCCCAGCTTTCATTTTTAAACAGCTTTGCCCCATCTGGTTCCACACAGCTGTGTAATACAGATATTTTGATACTGGTGAACACAGTACTGTCTTTGGTAACCAGCCAATCATGCCTGAATGTGGTCGGTTCACTGTTTCTAAAGAATAGGTTCAGCTTACAAGGCCCGCTCCAAAGAACATCAATGCGGCTGAGAGCTGAGAATACTCTCATCGGGCTATTGTGGAGGGCTACATCCATCTCAGGAGGCTCTGACCCAGTAGGACTTGCATAGGGTGGAATCCTCAAACCTTCAGCCAGGAGTGGCAAGAGCAGGATTTATAATAAGCATGTGGGAGGCATTTCTACCTACTTGCCTTTGGCACTGAGGATTACTGTACAAGGAAAACATGTGACACTAGGCTCACACAGCCTGACTGCTGGTGCTCCATGTGTTACACAAACATGGTTCCTGATAAAGGGCCTGGATGATGAAGTAGAGAAAGCGCAGAGCACCTCTCCCACCCATCCCTACTGGGAGATGGAGGACGCAGTGCGAGCATTTATCTCCTGACAGCACGCTTCTGTCCAGAGTGGGAGCTTGGTCCAAAATAGCATATCAGCAAGCAAGAGACACCAAGCTGTAGAAAAGAAAAGAGCCTCTAGAACAGGCAGGCCGGTTGCATCCTCCTCTTGACTGTAGACCTTCCTCACTCCTGAGCCTCGGTCTTCTTCTCTTTATAGTGGGGATAAGCCTGTGGATCTTGCTGGATTGTTGAAGATTAAAATCAATACGTGCAAATTTCCTGATAGTAATGTTTAATAGTTAACATTATCCAGCATTTACTATGTGCCAGACACTGCTGTAAGCGCTTTATAGTTTAGGTAATTTACACTCCCTTAGAGTCCTAAATGGGAGCTGTTTTCACAAATAAGGAAATCGAGGCACTGAAAATTTAAGCAAATTATTTATGGTAGAACTGGACTTCTACGCAAGCACTGCGAGGCCAGAAACTACCCGTCACTCTGTACGTTCTACTTCTCCGATGGCAGAAATCTGTTATCACACCTATCGGTGCAGAGGTGTCTACAGCTGGATCTCAGTGTGAAGAGTGTGAGGGGAGGAAGACAAGGTGGGTAGGAGGTGGGAGAAGGCAGCATTCTCTTCAATTCTGCCAGGCTCCACCCCGGCCCCCTCTTCCGTGCTCATGGGCATGGTGTAGGCACGTTTTCCTACCTGGGGGCTAAGCAAAGACTTCTCTGTGCTGCTTTTATTTGCACTGCAGTTACAGTAGCCAAGGCCTGACTAGTTCCTCTGGGTCCAGAAGGAGAGGAGGGATGTAATACACAAGTCATTCTTAACTCCCACCTTTATTCCCTTATATCCAGGCTATGTTGCTTCTGAGAACTCAGCAGTCCCACCCTAGGAACTTGTGGGATAACTCTAAGAAAAGGCTAGATTTAAGTGAGGGTCTGGGAAATGGCAGATATCCAAGACATTATCCCCCAACCCTCCCCACACACACCCAGGAGGGGGAATATGTGAAAGTCCAGGACAATGGAGAGATTCCTAAGTCGGGGAATGGCACAGCCAGAGGGGTGTTGAGCATCCTTCAGGCCAACCCTGAACCTCCCATTTTACATCTGGGAGCACTGAGGTCTGAAGAGGGCATTCAACTGCTGAAGATCTTCGGCTAGGATATTTCTGCTGATGACCTAATTCCTCTCCACTCCCCTCTTTCTCTCCTTTCAAACCATTAGAAAGTGAAGCATTATGATGTGGGGGGAGTCCAGTACCCTTATGTCATCTCCTAACTGAATATCTTTTCTCTTCTTACCAGAGTCTATCTTCTAGCAGTTTCATGTGACTTTTTTCTCTAACTGATCACCAGTCAATCAGAACAACATACTTCAAACATACCCCCTTACTAAAAGAACATGGCCAAGGGCGGGAAACGCCCCAAGGGTAAAAAGATCACCCTCAGCGTGGCCAAGAATTGTATCAAGATCACATTTGATGGGAAGAAACGCCTTGACTTGAGCAAGATGGGAATTACCACCTTTCCCAAGTGTATTCTGCGACTCAGTGATGTAGATGAGCTCAACCTTAGCCGGAATATGATCAGGAAGATTCCTGACTCAATCTCCAAGTTCCAGAACCTGCGGTGGCTGGACTTGCACAGCAACTACATTGACAAGCTCCCTAAGTCCATCGGCCAGATGACCTCTCTGATCTACCTCAATGTCAGCAACAACAGGCTGACCACCGATGGGCTGCCTGTGGAGCTCAATCAGCTCAAGAATATCCGCACTGTGAACTTCGGTCTGAACCACCTGGACCGCGTGCCCACCACGCTAGGCGCTCTGAAGGAGCTCCAGGAGGTGGGGCTCCATGACAACCTGCTGAGCACCATCCCCAACAGCATCTCCAAGCTCCCCAAGCTGAAAAAGCTCAACACAGAGCGAAACCCCTTTCCCAAAGCAGAGGAGTCAGATACGTTCATAGATTCCATCAAGAGGCCGGACAACCTATATCTGGTGGAGGAGAAGGATCTATGTGGGCCTTGCCTGAGAAAATGCCAACAGGCCCAGGACAAGCTGAACAAAATCAAAAGCATGGCCACGGTGGAACCGAGAAGGGCCATCTTTTCCAGTTTGGTCTCACCCAACGCCATGGCCAAGGAATCCCAGGAAGATTGGAGGTGACCTGGGACCCTGACCCTAAGGCAGGAAGGGAAAAGGGAGGGAGGCAAGATGACAATGGGCTACATCCTCACAAAACTGAGGGATTCTTCCGTTACTGCGATTAGCTCCTCCAGCCAAGCCCATAAAATACCTTTCCCTACCTCCTTGGCTTGTGATTTTGTTGACTGAAGGGCTTTTAGTTCTTTGCCATTCCGTACACTTCTGTCTTCTCTGCATGCACACACCCGCACATACAAGCACAATGAGTCAGGAAAGGGACATCTGTCTTACTTCTGCCCCAGAACTCTCCTGCCTACAGCCCGTGGCCTGGGCAGCTGATACAGCCAGCACACTCTTAGTCTCATTATCACACATTTCTGGACCAACTACCAGCTCCCCAGTGTGGAGCCTGTTCTACTGGAATGCTTTGGGCCAGGCTTCAAAAGTCAGGCATCTCTAAGCATGGGCTGGTAGGCGGGCAGATGGACATATAGTCTTGGGAAGGGGACAAAACTGGACCACAGAGATGGGCAGATATTATCATTAAGTATTGGCTTAACATCTTGGGCTCTAAGCAGTCCTATCCCTTTCTCTTTTCTGCACTTGCATAGTTTGCTCTAGGAGCTTTCTAGACTACACCTGCAAGCCCTTGACTGGCTGTGAATGAATGAGGTTCACTCCCATCTTATTATGTCCGATGTTTTTCCAGACCTTTGTGGAATAAGGAAAGAATGGGTGCAGATAGGGGTTGGTGTAGTCAATAGATAAACACCTTACTAGGCACTGTGCTAGGTGCAGGGACTGTGTCCAATGGGGGAAAGCTTGTCTTGCCCTTTGCAACCTGTAGGGAAGACAAGTTGAAAGAAGACTTTGTTCCTTATAATGCCATTGGTTTGAGGAGGTTAGGAGATCAGAGCCTAGTGGTGTGCAGGGCCAGCCTGGCATAGAGAAAAAGCCAAAGGCTCTGCAGTTGGACAGATCTGAGCCCAGAGCAGCTCTGCTTCTTACTTGCCATCTCCCTGGGCATTTTACTTAGCTTTGGTCCTTTCATCTGTAAAGTGGGAGTAATACCAGCCCAACTCCAAGCGTTGTCATGCGTCTCAAGCAGACAGCACACAGACTGAGTACTCAGTAGAAGTCAGTTCTCTCCAAGAACTAGAGCTCGGTGCATCTTAAAGCTGAAATACTACTTTGAACAGTGTCTTCAGTCACTCTAGATCTGTTGGTAGAACTCACACTAGCTGAGAACCTTCCCTGTACCACTCACTCATACCTTTATACTGCCTAAAAGAAAGGGATCAAGGAAGATATCCTTAGGAAAGTTTTTCGTTGTTGTTTGTTTTAAATCAAAGCTTTCCTGTGTTGGCGGCAAGTTTTGTAGTGGTCAGCGGAAAAGCCCTGAGAGATAAATATCCATTAGTTCAGCGTGACTAACGTATTTCTTTTTCATGTTATAAACCACAGCAGACAGCGTACTTCATTTCTTCACTCCTCACTGCTTATTTTCCTTTGAAATGCTTAGCTGTGACAACTCTATCATATTTCTAAAATCTCTGAAGATATAGATTCAAAATTCCCTTTTCAGTTTTTCTCTTTCTTAAATGTTTTCTATTATAAAAGTAACAATACCACAACATAGTTTTAAATATAGCAGCTTAAAGTATCCACAATTCTACAGTGTAAGCCAGCTGTAATACTGACAGATTTCCTTACCAGTTATTTTTCTGTGTATATTTTATACATAGTTAAAATAATAGCATTCACATCATTTTTATCCTGCTTTGAAACCCATGTGGTTACATGGTCTTAATAACCATAATTTAAAACATCTATACGATAGTCAAACATGGATATACATAACTAAGTTATTGTTGGACATTTAAGTTGTTTCCTGTTTTTCACTAATAGAAATCATTTTGTGATGAGGCCTGTATGATTAAGATTTTTTTAATGTTGTATTAAAGGGTGTGGCTTTTAAATAATTTTTGATACATGCTAGTAAGTAGCTTATAAAAAGTTTACACCCATTTATATATCTACCAGTAATATATTAGGGAACTCATTTCACTGCACCCTTGTAAGCACTGAATGTCATTCTTTATATTTTTCCCTTCATTTAATGTCCTCAATGATTTCTTAGAAGCCCTTCTACAGATGAGAGGAGGACACATGTCTGTAAAGTGCATGATGAGATGTCATGCCTTAGGCCCGAGAGACCCCACTAGACTGTTGGGCCTTGAACATGTCCCTAAGTAGCCATCCTGCTATTTTATATAATTCATCTCTGACCCAAGAAGCACAGAATCCATGCAGGGGCATTTGAGCCAAACAGAAAGTGATGGCTAGTTATCTAGATACTGAGCATTTCTATTCCTCCCACTCGACACACTTTTTCTTCAGAATTAATGAGTTAAGGATAAAGATCTCCCTGTGCCCCTACAAAGGGTCTTGGTCTGGACCCCAGGTTTGCCCCTCTACCCCCTCTCCTGACCATTGCAGCAACTTCCTCCACTGTGCTTGGTTTCCAAAATCTCTCTCCAGCACCTCTCCTGGATTTACCTCCAACTGAGTGGCTGGCGTGCAAGATGACATTTTTTGCCATCCTTGATCTCTAGGTGCTTTATGCTGCTTTCATTCTTACAGCTGTGTCTTAGGAAGGGGTTTTAAGTGCATTGAACTGCACCAGGATTGAGGAATAAACAAGCAGGGGGCTTTGATTTGCCCCAGGATACATTCACCTTAGACCCCTGGTTCATCAGAAAACCCGGGCAGTAAGATGAATTGAAGATGGGAGATAGAACTCAGTTAGGAAACATCTTCTATATTTTATTTCTTTTTCTGTCAAGGAAGGGTTTAATGTTAATGTTCCCTCATGCCCTAAAATACTGCAGTCATCTTTACTTTCTGGAGAGTATATTAGGCCCCAAAATACTTGACAGGAAAGTCACAGGGTTTTCTCTTTCTTCAAATAGAACAAAACCCCTATTCACATGTTATAACCCAGTCACCGCCCTCTCTGAAAGCCAGGCGTGACCTAGGTGACCCCCGTGCGACCTCTGCCCTTGCCGTGTTTTGCCTCCATGACCTGGAGTAATTGCCTTGGCCTCTTCATCCCTAGGATACGCTCAACATCTCCCTAGAGTAGCTTATGACAAAAACTTGAAGGCTAATCAGCTCTGAAGAAGAAAAGCCCTCAGTTAGGAGAAGAGAGTGGCAAGGGGAACGTTCCGGAAGCCAGGCTCTCCAGTGCCGGCCAAACCACTGACTTGCTTCTTAAATTCATTTTGCCTCTCTTGCTTTAGACTATCTGTGTGTGAAAATGACTTTGGGAAATATTTTGTGTGTGTTTTTTAAATTTATATAGAGGAAATGTTTAAGAAAATGATAGACATAAATTATAGACAGTTAAAAATTGAAAAGAAGACTTGAAGACTTAAAAGACTTATGGTCTCTACACTTCACTTGAACTGGTGAAATCCCAACACCAGTTGCCTCTTATAAGTTATGTATGTAAAATGCAATACCTCAAGCAACTAAAATCTATACAAAGAATTTATACCAAAAAAACCCAAAATACTATAGACAAATCAAAGTAGAATTTTAACAAATCTTTCAGTAATGCAAAGGTAGGCAGGAAAAAGAGACAGAAATGAACAACAGAGGAAAAAACAGGAAATGAGAAATGAAATGGCAGACTTATGTCCTAACATCTTGATAATGACATTAAATGTGGATTGTCTTCTTTACTTGTAATAGCCCCAAACTAGAAACAAGCAAATTTCCCTCAAGAGGCAAGTGGTTAAACCAATTCTGGTATATCCATATCATGGAATACTATTCAGCAATAAAAAGGAGCATATGATATACACAACAACTTGGATGGATCTCAAGGGCATCATTCTGAGTAAAAAAAGGCCTATCTCCAAAGGTCACAGACTCTACGATTCCATTTATAGAAAATTCTCTGAACGATAAAATGGTAGAGATGAAAAACAGATCAGTGGTTGCCATGGGTTAAGGATGATGAGCTGTGTTAGAGGGTGGGCATAACCAGGAAGTGGTAGCATAAGAGGTATCTTTGTTGTGATAAAAGTAATTGCGTATGTTGATAGTGGTGGTGGTTTCAAGAATCTACACATATGATAAAAAGGACAAAGAACTATGCATACATATCATACCAATGTCAATTTCCTGGTTTTGAAACTGTACTATAGTAACATAAGATGTAACCATTGGTGGAATTTAAGTGAAGGCTGCATGGGGCCTCTCTGTATTATTTTTGCAATTTCCTGTGCATCTATAGTTATGTTAAAATTTAAAAAAATCTTACAGACTATATGCAGTAATAAACAGATCTTTCTGTATCTGCCAAGCGCTAATTTATTAGTAACTATGGCAAGCTTAAAGTTCCTCAATCATTCTGAAGAGTTAAGGCATTTCAGGAGAAAGAGCACCTTAACTTCAGATCACTGGCCTAACTTAAAATTATCCATGTTGATCTTACCCTTGAAGATTCCTGAGAAAGATGTTAAAATAATAAAAAGACAATGCATGGCTTCTCAACCCATGTCCCAGGTTTTCTGGTGGTGGCTGGGTACAAGTAGCAAGTGGGGTGGGGGGACCGTGAGCCTGCAAGTTGCTCCTTTCACAGTTCTGGACTTTAACGCACCTGCCCACTGCCCTATGGAAGCACCTTGAATGGGTGGACAAAGGGGCCAGGCCTGGTGCAGAGATCAGGGCTTAAGTTAGGCTTCTGCCTAGAAACAGGTCTGAGGTCATGGCTAAGGATAGAGCTAAGAGGAGACATGAACAAGTAAGACAAGGAACAACACGAATGGGAGCCAAAACAAGGTCTGAGCAGGACCCAGGCAGAGCTCACCGCAGGTCACTGAACTCCACTACCCATTGCCTGTTGAGCCAGACATGTGAGAAGCTCCACAATGCCAGGGCATTGGTTATCCCACCAGGGTGTTTAGTTCACCTCTGGTTCCAGTGATTCTGCTCTAACCCGAGGGTCTGAGCTGTATAGCCCCTGCAATTGCCCTCCCAAGGTGTGCTTTACCAAGAAGCCCAAGGAGCATGTTTCCCCATTCAGTGATGGACCTGAAAGTTCTCTTTATCAAAGTAACCATGCACATTACAGATTCTCAGCCTCCCAACTGGTCATCAGTGATGATCTCTGGAAGAGTAGGGCTGAAAAGGCAGAAGTGGGGAGGTAGAGTACTTGAAATTTAGCCTCCAGGCTGCTAGCAGTGGTGCCGTGATTATCGTGGAAGAATCATCTTCTTATGGGAATTTACAGCTTCTTATGGTTGGTTTTCTAAGTTCTTTGTTTTTCATTATTTTTCAAAGATAATCTGTAAAGGAAACTCATTCTTTAAAGGAAAGCTATAAAGGACAGTACATACTCAACCGCAGAACTTCGTGCCAAAAAATGAATTTCATCCTAACCATTACATTTAAGTTAGCTATACAACTGAGAGAACATTTCAGAAATTACAGACATGCAGATACAGTAAGGCCCCAAATATAAGCACTGCCTCACAACCAACAGCTTCTTCCAGCCCAGGGACACTTGTCTTGATGGCACAGCAAGTGAGTATTTCAGAACTTGTCAGGGACCATGGCTGTGGAAGGATGCCTTTAGCCCATTCAAAGGTGTGTACTGTGTGCAACAGAGATTTGAGAGAGGAAAGGCCAGATAGGCAACCAGGCCTTGTATTTCCCTGAGTTTTCTAAACTCTGGGCTCAATAGGAGCTGAGATCACTGGGAAGCAATGGAACTGAGCCAGATCATGCTAGCGTCCCAAAGAAATGTCTGTACAGAAATAAGCCCAAATATTAGGGCTCTATTTTTTCAGAGAATCAATATAGAAAATTATATTCTATAGTGCTTTTTTTCATTTTTTATAGAAAGGGAATTGCCTTCTTTGTTACCCACTACCCTATTTACTCAGTGCCAAGAGAAAGTATGTTCCAGAACAAAAAAGTCCCCCAAACTGTCTGTTTCTTGTGATCTGTCGCTGGAAAATGGTGCAACCTAGCACAATTGTGTGGTTTTTCTTAGTTTCAGGACAATTACAGTGACTAGATCATTCCAGGTACCTGATACCACATCTATGTTTTTGTCCTTTAAAGGAGTTTGGGAGGAATTTTTAAAGGATCATTATACCCTGTATTTAGTTTTGAAACTGTTTCCAGCCCTTTGTGGAAGGGTACAGATAACTTTAAGTATAAAGATGTGTGTTTCTTCACATATTCATTTTCAACTAGCTTCCCTTTCCCTGTAACTTCAGCTATTCTCACGTCTCTGCAGAGCCTACCTATGTCTAACGTCATGGAGTTTTCTGGCCATCAGACACGTATCCAGGGGCATCTAGCTGGCTTTACATTAGAAGCCCCGATATGCTTGCAGAGCCTTGCACCTCACAGATGTCCGATTATGCCACCATGCTGGCTTCAGAATGGTCTAGTCTTGTACCATGGGGAGACAGAGGAGGATTATGGATCCCAGGCTGACCTCAGCTTTGCAAGTATTTTCTACTTGGGATTCAGGCCCACAGAACATCCTTGGAATTCAGTTATGGAGGCAGCCATTGTCACCGAAATTCTAGGCAAAACTCTGGTATCCAAAAGCTCTGGTTTCCTGTACATGGGAGATGGCCTCTAGAGGGGCCAGATCAGTCGTGAAGAGCTGGGGGTTGAAGATATGAAAACCTGTAGCACAGGCCAAGCATCTTGGGCCAGGTGAAAACCTGCAGAATGGATCATGCACTCCTTCAGAGAAGAGAAGCTCATGTTTGCTAGAGTGTGCAAAGTGCAGGCAGGCATTTTGAAAGACTCGGTGTATGAATTGGGCTTTGTCCTTGGTAATCCAAACAAAAAATGGCCAAGTTCATTCCAGGCATGGGGCAATGGCCAGCCAAGCCTTTCTAAGGCTGGGAGCCACTACTGCCTTCCCCTCTGAAACTCCCGTAGGCACACTGTGGCTGGTAGGAGAAGGGCTGGGAGAAACTCAAAGAGCTGAGAACACAAACGCCTGTATTTAATCAACTGCTCCATAAACATGCCCAAAATACACAGCAGTTGATTCTAAAACTAAGCAAAGGAGTTACATTTATTGAGCACCTACTATGAGCCCAAATCAGGTTGATCCCAAAGTCCATGGCTGACCGCAGCAGCACAGCCTCACCACACGCCCTGGCTGCTTGGGTGGTCTCAGAGCCTAGAACCAGCTCTTTGGCTTCCTCATTTTGTCAAAGCTCTTCTTCCATGAGCTTAGATATGTATTTCTCTGGAGCACCTCTCCCTTGACTTTTGAAACATATATCCAATGACCTACATGACATCTCCACCTGGATATCTGAGAGGCATCTCAAAATTAACACGTCCAAAATCGAGCCCCTGATATCCGCTGCGCCACCAAAGTAGTTCCTCGTGTGGTCTTCCCCATTTCATCTTCCAGTTGCTCAAGCCCAAATGCTTGGTCTTATCCTTAAGTCCTTTCTCTCACGCACACATTCCCCACCCACACTTGATTTGTCAACAAATCCCACCAGATGTACCTTCAATCATGTACAAATATGTCCACAATCTGAGCACTTCACGCCATCTTTACTGCCACCACCACCCCCAATCCAGGCCAGCATCATCTCTCACCTGCATTACTGCAAAAACCTCCTAACCAGTATCCTAGCTTCTGCCTTTGACCTACTATGTTCTACTCTCAACACAGAAGCCAGAGTAAGTCTTTTAAAATATAAGTTAGGTCACAAGATCCCTCCAATGTTTCCCATTTATTCAGAGTAAAAGGCGACCCCATTAGCATGAGCCCCCAAGGCTTACATGAACCCTGCTCCCTCTCTCATCTCTGCTCCCACTGACTCACTGCGCCCAATCACTATGGCCCCAGCCAAGCCCATCACACTTCCCCTCGGGGCCCTTGCACTCCTCTTCCCTTGGCCTGAAATGTTCTTTCTTCAGTTATCTGAATAACTTGTTTCCCCACTTTGTTCCAGTCTTAATTCAAATATTAACTTTCTGGGTGAGGTCTTCCCCTACCAACCTAAGATTTCAAACCCTACCTCGACGGACTTTGGTTGTTGTCATTATCTAATATGCTTTCTATTTCATTCATTTTGCTTTCTGTGTTTCTCACAAGAATGTAAACTCAATAAATGGGGAGATTTTCAGTATCTTGCTTGTTTCTGTGAAGCAGCGGACACTACACATAACGAGCTATGGGTAAATCCTTTTAAATAAACTGGTGACACCCACTCCATAGTCATTATAAATACTTTGCACGTATCTCCTCCCTGCCCTAGCCCCACATACTCCTGGAGCAAAACAGCAACCGCTGTCCTCTTCCTGTTCCCCTTCCTAACTGAAATAAAAGCACCTACCAATCCGGAACTGGCCTTCCAGAGAACTGGGTACTTGTAAAGGGGGGGGGGGGCACTTAGGAAGGGGCCGTAAGCAACTTGTTTCCTGGGAAAGATGCTCCATATCACAGACTCATAAATTAGCATATGCTTTGCACATCACTGTACATTTATTTATTTAGCTTCTGAGTTTTCAGAGCCTCGAATAGCAAGGACAGACCTGGGACTGCGCACACCTCAACCTGAGGGCCTGACACCAAGCTGGGCCTGGGCTGCCCCCTCTACGGGCAACCTGCCCCCACCCACCACAGGCAGAGGCGGCTTCCTGCCATTTTGGTCTGAACAAGCCTCAGAGCACTTGGGACTTCAAGTCTGTTGTAGAGGTTTAATTGGCAGAAGGAACTAGGGGAGTAGGATGAGGGTTGTACGAGGATGGGAGAGAGAAAAATTAAGCAGAAGGCAGACTGACACGCTCTTTGCATGCCTTCTTAGCAGCAGGGTCAGGCCAATGAAGAAAGTCAAAGCAAGGCCAACACCTTGCCCAGAGAGCATGGCTGGCCTCCTCCCTGCACCTGTTACCTTAGGTTGAGCGGGTCCTCCGTGAAGCCTTTTCCTTTCAAGCCGGGTTGGAAAGAGCAGAAGCTAGACAAAAAGGGAAAGGATTATTCTATCAGCAGAGTCAAGACTCTTCCACCACCATGGGAACATTTTCAGAGGCAGGCTAGAGGTTGGTTTATTCTTGCCCTTCCAGTGGGCCCCATTTGCCCCTAGATCAGGGTGTACCTCTGAGGCATCCCATCAGCACCCTCTGCCATTATATGCTCTAGCCTTAATAATAGCAATGATAACAATAAAACAATAGTTACAATAAAAATTACATGTTTTAGAGACCTCCTCTGGGCCAGCACTGGCATTTCCATTGCTGATTTTAGCAGCCACTGTAGTACTCTAGGGACAAGTGCCATCTTACTTTCATGCTCTTTGAACAAGGGTGGGGTGTGGTTGGCACTATTCATTGTCTGAGTTATGGATGTATAAGACTTCTAGCTCGACTGTGAAAAAAACGTTGTTTAATGCACAGAAATCGCAAGGGAACATGAACCTGAGGTTCAGAACTGCATGTCTACTTCTTCGGTTTGGTCTAAAACGGAACCTGAAGACATTTTAGGAGGCGATATAACAGCAGTCCTTCGAAGAACCTCAAACGGAGAATCACAGTCAATGGAGACGCACCCAGAGCTGGCTCAGACAGCCTCTCTGCGAGAGCTGTTTTTCTCCACTCTGGCCCTGCCCTTGGGACCCAGCAGCTGGTCCTGGTGCCAGTGACTGGCCAGGGCCGACAGGAAGGTAAGGCTAGAACCTCTGAGCACAAAATGGCCTGGGACATGCAGGCCAGGGATGTCAAATCTCACCTTAGCACTTTCAACCCTAAGTGGAGCTAAATGTGACCACTTCTCTATTAATCCAGCTTCTGTGTGGTCTGCTTATGGCTAGGAGCCTGCCTTTCCTTTGGCCTCTTCTAGATTCTCTGCAAATCTACATATCTCTAACTTTAATAATATAAATTTAAAATTTAAACTCTAGCTTAAACTCCTTAGATTGATGAATCTCTTTGGATAAAGAGAAGTTAAACTAAAACAGCATGCTTCTCTCTTTAAGAAAAAAGATGTTCCGTGCAGAAGTGGGAAATCAGTTGGTAGGAATACTTTCCAATAAAATATGAAGTCAGAACAAATAAAATTGGCAACTGGGATCTAAAAGGAAGATTAAGCCAAAATAATTACTTGGATAATTTTAAAATAAAGCCGGAAAATTCTGGAAGGCCCATTAAATATGTTGTGTCTGCACATTTTTTTCTCCCTTCAGTTATTATTGTCTCAAACTACTTCAGTTCATGAAACAGAGCCAGTTTCCCAGGATTTAGGGAAGGAGCTTTTATAGTTTTCTCTATACTTTTTTCCATCACTCAGCAGTTCTGTGGGTAAGTTCTTTCTCGTGTCTAACCTAAATCCTGCTCACTGTGGCTTGGGAACAATTCTCCTGAGAACAGAGCTATTCCTCTCCTATTGGGTCATGATCAGTCTCCTCAGCGGAGGATTTTCAAACCCTTACCTTTTGAAGACCTTACTCCGATCACTGTTGTGGAAGACAAGAAACTTGGAATATCCGTTTCGGAAAAAGATCTCCAGGGCAATGTCCTGTAAAGAGAACCCCTTTTACTGCTCTGCAGTTTCCTGGAATGGAGAACCAACCCCCCCACCCCCTCACCAGGGCAACAGGGCCATGGCTGTGGGTCATTTGGGACTCTGTGTCAGGTGTGAAAGGATTTCAATCTAAAATGGAACCAAAAGATATGAAAGGGCGAACCTCAGGCATGCACCCTCAGAAAAACGAAACTTAAGAACTCAGAGACTGATTTCCCACAAATGCCTGTTTTACAGAAGATCGAGACTTACCTCGTGAGCAATGAACATCCACCAAGAACCCCTCCCATCCTCAAGCCAGTGAACTTACAGCTTGGACTCTGGCTGGACGCCCCCACTTGTGCTCCTTGCCCATAGATACAGCTGACCCTCAACGGATTCGCCTGTAGCTCCCGACAGCCTGTGTTTCATGAATGGCTATTCCTGAATTAACTCAATTTCTGGTAATTCAGGCTTGCCTCAGTTTACCTCTTTATCTAGGTCGACACAGGCCTTGCAACCTCCTGCAGGGGATATGAAGACCTTGGTGACAGTGACGAATGGGGTCTCCACAGAATGAGTAGGAGGGCAGGAGAACTAAGGGCTCCTTTGGCTGAAGCAGGAAACAAGAGCCCCACTCCCAGGGCAAGCGAGGAGGGGACAAAGAGAGGAAAGTGCCCAGTAACACCTCCAGACACTTTTACTTCCCGGTCAAGGGTTTCATTTCCTGAACCAAAGGGTCATCTTACCAAAAACACTAGGGGAGTGGGTGCCAGTCCCAATCTGGGCAGCATCTTACGCCAACCCACAGACTTGAAGGCACAGGGTGCTTTGCCAAACCACTTTGCTGAGCCATTCTGACGTGGCCACACTGACATAACAATGTTGTTTCAAGGGTATTTTGTTAATGCCTAAATGAACTCTACCTGCTTTCCTTTCCTCCTCCCTCCCCTTCCAATCTATAAATAACAGACTTGGAATAGTGATAGAGTCAGTCCACATATAGGATCAGATGGGGTCAGCCAAAGAATACCCAGCATTTGAGGGAGGGCCTGGGAGAGGTGAGGCCTGGGCATGGAAGGAGAGACGGGGAGGGAGAGGGTCAGACTCAAAGATGGGGTCCTGCATCCAACAGCAGTCAGGTCCTGCTCCTGCCTGGCTGGAAGTGAGTTCTCAAAGTCCAGTTCATTAGATTCCTGAGCAGAGGGGAAGTATCTGTAATGATAATGAAACACCCCTCTCCTCTGTGGGTATACATAAGGCCACAGATTTGTTTTCTACAAATAGAAATATAAACACTGTACAAAGAGATGATGAATGTAGAATTTATGAAGGCTACAGCTTGTCCCAGCAACCTTAAGTGCCCAGGCTCTGACTTTCCTCTGGGAGAATCTAGGGCTGGACAAATGGTGGCCTTGCTCATGAAGCTCTCCCAGCCCCACTTGGCCATCACACATGCTCTCCCACTTCTGGTTTCCACCACGGTCAGGCTAACCAACCATCTGGAAACAATCCCCTTTTACTGGGGAGAAAGACACTCACTTACTGATATCTATTTGCTACTATATATAACCTGTAAGTAGACATACAATTATTTTAAAAAAAAGTGTTTTTTTGAGTACTTGCTGTGTGCCTAAAATGTGCTAAGTGCTGCTATATATGTAATGGTGGAAAAGACAAGACATGGTCACCTGTTCCCTGGAGGGAAATGGAAGCCCAGAGAGGTGCCTGACTGTGCCAAAGCTGCAGGGCCGTGCTCAGGACTGGGCCCATGCTGGCTGTGGTCAGAACTATCAGGGCAGGGCCTCCTCCACCCGCCCCTTTCTAGTTCACTCTCCTTTCAGAGAAGAGCACTAAGGGCAGGCAAAATGAGAAACAGATCTTTGTGGGCAAAAGCGGCGGAGAGGGCGGGAGAGGGAGAGAGCTGGGTCAGATGTCAGCAGCTTGCTGGACCCTTGTCTGCAGGGCAGCTGATCCTCCCTAGAATGAGCCCCCCCCCCCCCCCCCCCCCCCCACCCCCCACACACACACACACACACACACACACACACACACACACACACACACACCCCGGCAAAGGCTCCCTGGAGCTTTAGTTTCAGATAATAATAATGAGGCCTCCAGCAGGAGGATCAAGGGACAAAGAAATTTACAAATGAAAGGCACACTTATTCTGTTCCTGAGGGCCTAGCACTGTCCCTGTTGGCCTTTGCAGAACTGAGACCCTGCAGCAAGGGTGAGCGGGGAGGGATCTAGGCTCCTCCCCACCCCCAAGGGTGGTCCCTCATCTCTTCCTCCGCCAGCTGCCTGGGAGGCCCCCGGGCACGGATGCAGCTTTGCTATTGCTGAGGTTGGGCTGGTGAAGGCAAGATGTGTTTGAGGCCAGTGGGAGCCCCAGAGTTCTTCCTCCTTTTGCCACTGAAGTGATGCTCCTAAACCACGTGATGTTTCTCCAAGGTGGGGTATGAGAAGCATGTGGTTGTGACTAGCTGACAGCAGGGCTCTGCCTCTGGAAGGAATCAGCTCTGTTTAGTACCTGGATGAGCCCTTGAATGCACTGGACAAGGCTCTGGGATCCTGGTTGGAGGGGACAGTCAGGAGATCTCTAAAACACCTGGCCCAGGAAATGACCAGGAGCTTGAAGGTAGGTGAAGCTGTGAGGAGGGCAGAGGGTAGGGGCTGTGGCCTGAGGAGGTGTCCACGTGCTCAGAACAGAGGGCAGACTGGCACTCAACTCTCAGTCACTGGCTCTGCCACGAGGCAATGGAGCTGCCCTGTCCTGTATTTCTGAATCTCCAAGGCAGCTCTGGGGCATGTCAAGGGGAAAATAAAGCAAAGAGGCTGGGTCCTAAATGACACGGTAAGAGAGAGAAGGACCCAGTGGCCAAATGGCAGGGACTGTGGAGAGAGTGAAACAGAAGGCAGAACTCCATCCCAGCCAGGGGACCAGCCCAACATAGGCCACAGGGATTCACAGGTGTCTCAAAGGGCCCTGGGCTGTGCACAGGTGAAGGGGGTCAGGGAGGTGTGTCCCTCACATTCAGATGGGGCCTCAGTGGCACCTGGACCACCTGTGCCCGGAAGAGATGGTCCTCTCTCTGGCCCCCTCCCGGGACACACCTGCAGGAGGAAGCGCGCCTGCCGGAGCTCCCTGAGGTCACCGTAGCTGTGGCGCTGGCACGAGTAATGGTCGGAGGACCTGTCTTTGCTGCACATGTTGAAGATGAACGGATCGCTAATGCTGAAAAGGAAGCAAGACACGCAGTGAGAGGGTGTCTGGTAGGCTTGTTCCCCTGCAGGCACCGTGCGTGGCCCACCTGAGTTTCTGGACACATTGGAGGACGTGTCAGCCCCCACTGACCTAATAAACCCTGTCTGAGCGCCTGTCTGTGTCAGCCGTGCCCTGAGGAGTAAGGCGGATCACTGCCCTCACCAGGGGAGGGACAGCAAGACAAAGGGCCCACCTCCAGGACGGATAATGACACAGGGTGTAAGTGTGAGAAGACTCTCTGAGTACAGGGGTCAGAAATGGGCTGGGGGTTTATGGGGGAAGAATGATTAGGTCTGGAGAAATTTCAAGCTCCTGGAACATGAGGCAGAAAGACAAGCCCTGTCCAGCATGGTGTCAGGCAACGCGGAGCCCTGGGGGGAACAGCCGTGTCAGTCGGGCTAGCACCTAGTGTAAAATGGGACAAAGGGGCAGAAAACTCTGAGTCTTCAAAGAGGCAGGTGGCAGGGCTGACAGCACTGATGGGCTGGAAGACGATGACCCCAGCGTTAGCAGTGGACCCCAGAGCACCGTGCCTGGACCAGGGACTAGCGGCATTGTAGAGAGCAGAGGATGGGCCGGCCAGGCCGGATGCTGGATGCCCGCTCCTGGAGGTCAGAATGACTCCCCTTGGGAAGAAAGGGAGAAGGGAGGAAGGAGGAGTCATGAATTTGACTAAGTATTTATCCCCAAAAGAACAATTTTTTCACTGGAAGTAACTGAAATACCTTCACATAGCCAACCAGATGAAGCTTTCTACCACCAATACAAACGGGGACTTGAGAAATAAATTTGATTTCAGCATGGACAGTTACATTTCTGATCATCTGAGTTACATAGCAATTTTGCATTGTGTACATTACCACAAAGCGCTGATAAAACACCCTTTCAGTATTGGAGAAAGGAAGGGCCTTCCAGGCACCTCAGCCCTCCGTAAGACTGTGTGCCCACCGCAGAGCCGAGGAGCCCCGCACCAGCACTAGGTGGCAGGAATGTGTTTTACCTCCTCCCACCCCAGCTCCAGGGGCGGCCCTCACCGCCCAGCCTCCAGGGCAGGCCACGCTTCCAGGGGAAATGGAGAGAGATCAGGCCATCACACAGGCCCGCAGGACTTCTCTGGGCTGCGGTCGGAGCTGGTCCAGCATCTGCAGTGCTGAGAGCTCAGACTTGCACACTCTGCAGAATGGTTACTGCCAGGTAGAGGGGAAGGCTACCCGCGTGGGACCCAGCCCGAGCCGGCTGTTCAGCACCCACATGGCCAGACCGCACCCTTGCGGACTCCTGCCCCTTCTCAGAACAACGCTCTCAGGGCCCCTGTTCTGAGCCACACTGCTGAAGGATTGTTGAAACACAAATGTGGCTGGATGCTTCTGGATGCTTCTGCTTGGATGTTTTAATTCAAACCTACTGCTGGCTGAGGCCCTTTGTCCATTATTAATGCTTCCCTCTGGGGCTAAGCTGAGCTTGCCCTAAACTTCCCTGACTCCCAGAGAGGTCGTGGAGGTAATTCTGGTTCCTACCCTTGACTTAGGCCAAACAGCGTTCCAGGTAAAGGCACTTGTGACAGTGACAATGATGTGATCTGTGGCCTGTGGTCCTGTGGCCCCGTTCTTGTGGGAGCACAGCAAACATTCTCTGTACCTTAGCTGCACCTTTGGTTGGTTTCCTCTCCCCAGCTGACTATGAGTGAGTTCATGGGGGCACAGACCTGTGCCCATGGATTTCATCCTCCACATCTTTCCTGGAGCTCTGGGCATGTTTGCTGAGTGGACTGACCACCGTCATGCTCTACAGCCTGCTCAGTACTTCCCTGTCCTTGATTAATCTGATCCACGTGATGAACCCTTACTGAGCATGTGTTATTATGATTCCCATATCAGAAGTGAGGAAACTACATTCCAAAGAGAAGAGGTGACTTTTCCAAGGTCACATGGAACTGGATTCAGACCAGGTCCTCTGAATCTAAAACCCAAGCTCACGCCGCACCTTTTCTCCCCTGAGGCAGACAGGCTGGCTGGCAATTACAGAGCTTCCCCCACCAGCTCCCTCCTTCCAGTTTACTCTGTGCAGACTGATTCTCAACCTAGGACTCTAAAACACTGGTGACATGAGGAAGAATGCTCTGGAGAATGCTTTTAGGAAGGAGCTTTTAGGAGGAAAGATGGTCATTCTTCTCCTGCTTGTAGGGGCTGAATAATCCATAACGCAGGAGTGCTTAGACAGACTCAGTTTCTCAGGAAGACTAAATTGTGAATGATATTATTGAGTTCACTGATGCAGGGTCCAGACTGGAGTTCCATCGTACAACGCATTAGTCACACAGCTAGGACTGCGTCTCTTTGCCAACACTATATTCTACATGTGCGTTAAATCAGAGTTCAGGCCCCCAAGGTCAATGAGTAGAAAGGAGTCGCTGATCCATGTTCTTCTTTAGATGGAGCTGTGGCTACAGTTCAAAGGATGCTGTTCACAGCTCTTGCATGACACCTATAACGATATATGCAAATCGCCCAGGGTGGTCATAGTAAAACTTTTAATATTCTTAACTAGGGAAATCACAGTAAACTAAATGATAATCAAGATATTGATTGACTGGGTCTTTGGTAATAGAAGTGGATTTCAAACTAAAACATACTTTGATTTGCCCCACATTTGTATGTATCCAATTGTTGTCAGGAATTTATAGCTGGAATTTATACCCAGATAACTTGCTAGATCCCAAACTCTTTACCAGACTCAGCCCACATCTGACTGATCTATGTATCTGTGGAGTCTACCACAGTGCTGGTACAAGACAGGCTTTCAATAAGTATTTGTTGAATTAAACAGAGAGATGATGCCTTAAAACTGCTGACTGATGTGAAGGAGATATCTGACTAAAAGCACCCCGTCACAAAGAGCCGGCTGGATGGTCTGGATCCCCACCAAATGAATCAAACGCTATACACTGTGAGCGTGGCTGCTACTGTTGTGGGTTGAATTGTGTCCCCTAAAAGATATATGTTGAAGTTCCTAATCCCCAGTACCTCAGAATTTAACTTTATTTAGAAACAGGTAAATAACAGAGGTAATAAAGGGAGGTCATTGAGATAGGCCCTAATCCAGTATGACTAGTCTCCTCATATAAAGGGGAAACTTGGACACAGAGACAGACACACACGGGGAGAAGATGGCCATGTGACCGAGCGACGTATATACAAGCTACGGACCACCAAGGATTGCCAGGAAACACTAGCAGCTAGAAGAGGCGAGGAAGGATCCTCCCCTAAAGCTGTAGAGGGAGCATGACCCTGCCGACACTTTGATTTCAGACTTCTAGCCTCCAGGACTGTGAGACAATAAATTATTTTTTTTTAAAGCCACCCAGTTTTTGATACTTTGTTACAGGAGCCCTGGACAGCTATTGGGTTGGCCAAAAGGTTCGTTCGGGCTTTCCATAGGATGCTATGGAAAAACTCTAACGAACTTTTTGGCCAACCCAGTTAGTACAGTCACCCTATTCTGCCAAGAAGAGATCCCACTGAAAGCAAAATATAGCCGTCTAGAAAGGGTCTTACTTTCTAAGGAGAGTTCCAAAGTACACAAGCCAATCCCTGCTGGAGGACTGGCAGTGCTCTTGAGTTTTGTTTGGGATATTTTCATGGCACACTGGGGAGTCTCTTTCAAGGTCTAATGCTCAACTGTAGTCAAATTGATGGCAGCCTTTTAGAGAAACATTCCGGAGTTGACTTAGCTTTATGTTGAACTGGCTTATTTATGTATCTTCCTTAGTCTCCATGGTCAAAATAAGGCTTAATCCCCATTGATCTGACATGATCTAATGGCCCATCTCTGAGAACCACAACTCCACGAGTGCCAGCATTTTCTTAGGGCAGTAGACAGGAGATCAGAGAGAAAGCACTGTCTGGTTAACAAACACTTCTTTGAGGTACGGTGTCTAAAGTTACCTATGGCAATTCCCAAACGATATTCCAAGGTAGTAATTTATTCTCACTACTCTCCTATTTGCATTCTAGAAAAGTACCTTTCCAGACTTGAGTACGTCCAACCTGACAACTGGGCCTCTGTTGGAAGTGCAGATATAGTCAATTTGACCATGATTACATACACCTCATAAACACAATTTACCTCATCAATAAGGTCTTATCTAACACCAACTCAATTTAAACCAGAGGTGGAGAGGGAAGCAATGGTTTATGCAAGTCATTTCATGGGCACGCCATGCATATACGTAGAGGAGAAAGCTTTCATCAGCTCTCAGAAAGGCGAGTCAGCAGACCCATTGTCCATATTGATCAGTATCAATAAAACATGAGCAATAAGATGGGATGAGTGTGCCAAGTATTAATTATGCTCCTGCCTTGGAAAAGAACAGAAGACTCACTGCAATTGGTGAACGTTTGGTATGAATAAAAGATGGAAATTAGCAGAGAGAAAAAGGCCAAGCATTTTAAAACAAACCTAAATCAAAGGAGGGTGGGCTGACATCTATCCTTCTGTGCTCCTTAAACTCTTGCTTCCTGACATAGGCTGGAAATGATATGACACCTGGGAGTTAAAATTCTTAGTTATTGGCAGGTAAGGCTCTGGTTCCTCTGTCAATAGTCTTAAAGAGTGGTTCTCAAAGTGTAGTCCCAGACCAGTAGCATCAACATTAGCTGAGAACTTGTTAAAAATCTTCAGCCCTAACTCAGACCTACCACATTAGAAACTGGGCTGATGAGGGGTCCCAGAGGTCTGTTTTAACAAGCCTTCCAGGTGATTCGATGTAGTTTAGTTTGAGAGCCACTGGGCTAAGAGGTCATTTTGTCATTACTTGAGCCTTAGCTAACCAGAAAAGAAATCTACACCTAAATTTCTCCAAAAGTGATGAAAACATACAACTTGAGAACTGAACCTTTAGCAAAAGGGCAAACACAATCAATTTGGTTTTGAATGGCAGTACTTTATAAACACCAGAGAATTAATCAATAAGAACCGAATGAACCCAAGTAGACCGACTGCATTGGATCCTAAAGAAGAACCTCGGAATTTCCTGCCAAAGACCTCTGGTGTTAGTTGGTGTAAAAATGACTCTTCAGATTTCTACCCAAGTCTCACCCATCCTTCAAGACCCAGATCTTAGCCTACTTCCTCAAGTACCTGTCCCTCACCACACAAGCCCCATGCCATCTCTCCAAGCATGAACCGCGAAGAGTCCTCAAATAACATGTATTTTGTCCCTTGATGACAGTGTGTTCCAAACTCTTTCCAAAAGAACCTGTTTATGCTGCTGATTGCGCTCATGTGCCTTGCGGGCATGAAGGGACAGGGCCTGATGTCTTGCATAAGGATGAACAATCAAAGAAGTTGTTGAATGAGTAAGCTGATGGGACTGGATTCTATTACCCAAACAACCTAAGGACCTATGCCCTTTGTCCTGTGGTGCATTCCATAGCAGGAAAGCCCCAGGAGCTGCTGCATTGTTAACCACTCCAGATTTTAGCTTTGGGGAACCACAGTCATGATGCCTATGCCTTAAGGTTCCTCTGTTTTATCTCGTGGCTCAGTTTCAGGCCCAAACTTGAGCCCATAGAAAGAACAAGGTGGGAGGCATAGGCATGGGGGTGGCTGAGAAGGCAGCTTGGGGCTTAGGGCAGAATCTGCTGGGAGGGGAGGGACACTCACTTGGATAAGCAGTGGCGGGTGCAGTAGACATCACCCACGGGAGAGAGTGTGAAGTTCTCGCAGATGTAGAAGTGCTGCTGGCCAAAGAGCAGGAGCCCTTCGCAGACCAGGTGACCCTGCACGATGACCAGGGAGTACTTCTGTGTCACCTGCAGGGAGAAAGTGCCAGAGTCAGGCCACGTGCAAAGGAAGCATGCCCATCTCCTTTTGGAGGGCAGGAGGGCAGTGGCCGGTCGCCCACCAGGCCCTTGGAGGTGAGAGTATCACCCTGTAAATGACAGAGCCACTGCCCCAGAGCTGCACTGCTCTTCACAGTCTAAGTTTCATTTCTATACCCAACACCCTGTTTCATTATTTCATCTACCCAAGGCCACCCCACCCCCACCGAGGCATGTGGATGAGTGTTTATTGCTGTGTTGAGCACGCTGGACTTTTTTTCCTCTCACTTTAAGCTCCTCTACAACTGTGCAAAACATTCCTCTGTAAACAAGGAGGAAAGTTTTCAAGGTCTAAGGCATCCCTCAGTTACAAAGGCGAAGGAGCTTGTCCAGAGGCCAGCTGGAAACTGGCTGAGCCAGGACTGGAACCGGGTCTGCCTAGAACCACAAGTGCAAGACTGGTACTGCTGTCTACAAGGCCAAGGCTGGTCCAAGGTGTGTGCAGAGGTGGCACGAGCTCCGCCCAGGTCTCGTCTTTCAGGCTCAAGCACGTTCTCTCAGCAGCTGAAGATGTTGACAGCTTTCCAGAATCCCTCAGCTAAAGAGAGTACCTGGCCAAAGGTCATGTCCTCATCCCAGTGGCCGTCCGTACCCAACGACTGGTCAGAGAAGGAAGGGCCAGACCTTTTGCCTCCACTCAGGTCAACTCTGAGCTCCCGTGCGATCAGCTGAGGCCTTGCTGAGTCTGCACTTCTCGCTGGGCCCAGTCCAATGACCCGCACTCCCAATGAACTTGCTGCACGCACATCTCTGCCTCAACGTTGGCTTTCTGGGGAGCCTGACCTGAGAGGGTGTCTTATGACCCAGAGTCTCGCATGAAGTAAGGACTAGGTGGGTCCTTACGTGGAAAAAAAATCTCCAAAGGAACGAGTGAGAGAATACATGAATTTTTAGATGTCGGGAGCCCAAATGGACCAGAGTAAGACCAAGACCAACATTTTCTCAGCGTAATTCTGTGCTAATTCCAGTTATCCAAAAGAGGACCTGATTTTTTTTTTTTACTACCTACTTTTTTTTTATAACCATTGTAAACATTTTACACATATTAACCAGTATAATCCTTACAGTTGGGCAAGGGTAGTTGTACTACTCTAATTTAGAGATGGAAAAAAAAGGGGTCCCAGAGATAAGAATCTCATCAAAGATGGGTAAGTGGCAGAGCCCAGCACTGAAGTTAAGCTCTGTGCTCACCTTTGGGAGCAATGATGATAGGGCTGCAGTGGTGAAGCCTGGAAAGCAGCCCTGGATACCAGTTCTCACACTGCTGCATCAAACAGGATTAGTCAAAGTCAGGAACAAACAAGATAAACAAGAACCCTACAACCGTGGGACTTAAAATCCAGTGGGGGAAGACACATCAACTAATAAACTATCACAGACTGTGATATGTGTTGAGAGAAAAAAAAACAGGTTGATGATAATAAGGCAGAGAGAAACTTGGAGGGGACACTATTTTAGACAGACCCTGAGACTTGAAGGACGGAAATGGGCAGTCATGCAGAAGCTGGGAGAAGAAATTTCAGGGAACGGGAACATCCAGCTCAGAGCCTAGAGGCAGGAAGGGCAGGTTTGGGGAGTAGAAGAGAGGTCAGTGTGGCTGGTGAAGCTGCAAAGTAGGTGTGCTCAGATCCTGGGGGCCTTAGATGTCTTCATTTTCCTGTGAAGCCTCCCGTGTACATGTAAAAATAAAATCTGTACACATTTCTCCTGTCAATCTGTCTTCTGTCCACTGAATTCTCAGGCCTAGCTGGAGACTCTAAGAGGGTAGAGGAAAAGTTTTGCTTCTCCTGCGGTATGTTATACTGAAGAGACTCGGTGAATACACAGCATGTTTTGTACATATTCTCTTTTTTTACACAAGCCGCATATGCGTATAGTTACTGGTCTGTATCTAGTTTTCTCCCTTAATAGGCCATCTAGCAGACCCTTCCAAATCACTTCTTATAGAGTTGTCTCACTTTTATTAAACGGTGCAGGCCATTCCCTTGCATGGATGTACCACAACTTATTAGACCGACCCCCTATTGACTCAGGTTGTTTTCAAATGTTTTGACATCACAAGTGATGCTACAGTGACCAGCCTTATACACATGTCACTTGGGACACATGAGTAAATCTTTAGGTTGAATTCCTAGAAGTAGAACTGCAGGTCAAGGATGTGGACATTTTAAATTGTGATCTAGTGCCAGCCTGCCCTCCTGCAAGGTGACACTAATTTACACTCCCAGCAGCATTGCTGCAGGGTGTTTATGTCCCCTACGCCAAGCCATTGAAACGTTTTTCTTATGCCTTTGTATGGAGGATGCTTCGTCCTCACATTCACATGCTCACATGCGGGGCCCAAGCACAGTCCAGGCCTATGTACCTCCCAAACCTCTCCCCTCCCCGTGATGCCGCCCCCTCACCCAAACTCTGTGGTGCCAAGAGCAGGGGCTGCAGCATCTTTCCATGATCTCCTGATGTTTTCCCTTGGGGAGAATTAAGTAGCAACCAGAATAAACGAAACCACAAGAAAAATGTCTGGTGAGAGCTGGGTTTATAGCTTAAAAATGGATTCTGCTAGGAAAGAGTGGCATTCTAAAAACTGGAAAATGAATCCAAGTGAACTATTCCCTGCTCTTCCATTTAAATTAGCCCTGAGAGGGCTCCGCCCCCAAGTTTAATCATGATTAAGAATTCCCTCCTGCCATGATTCTATCACTTTAAAAAGAGTGGAACTTCAGCTTGATAAGTAGAATTTTTTAGGATCAGCTAGATGATATATTATCATTCCTGATGGGTGAATAACCAAGTACATGGCCACACCTGGTTCTGCGTATGATAAGGAACAGGTTGTCTGGAAATCCAAAACTGCCAGAGCTCAAGTTAGAGGGACAAGAGTTGGCTGGGACATTCTATGGAAGCCCACGCGGGCACATTCTCCTAGAGGCAGCCCTCAGTGTGCAAAAGGGGGAGGCCAACTGGAGGCTCCCTGAAGATTTTTTCCAGCATTGCTAGTCTGCAATTGAGTACAATGCTCTAATTTTATAGGTAGAAGAAGTGAGATTCAGAGCTGCCATGTGAAGTGCCCAGTAAGAGAGCTAACGTGTACATTCTCTTATACTTGTGCGAAAAATCTACTGCAAAGAAAGCTTCAACCGTGCTCACATGTGTCACGCTTCCCTTTCCATACGTCTGCTCACCTAGACTTCGTTATCAGTACATTCTGTTACAGTGGTGTATGGAATAAGTATTCTCTTATCTCAAAAAACAGTACAGATCGCTGAGAAAAAGTTAAGTATCAAAAAGGAGAGAGACTTTCAATTCCATTTGTGCTGGCTACCTATGAATTCGGGCATCTACTTTTTCTCTATTGATCACTTTTAGATGGAGCATTCAGTCACACTAGTAAGCAAAGAAATGTATATTAAAATAAGGAGATATTATTTTTATATGTCAGTTTGGCAGATCTGAGAAGAAATATAACACTTGGATCTCTTGATGGCAGCTCGTATTTTCAGGTGGAGACAAGGAGCAGGGATGCCCCCTGCCTGCCTGCGTGTGCCACTTGCACAGCAAGTCTGCCAACAGCCAAGCCTCCACCCTTTCTCTGCTGGCTCAGGGGAGACCAAACGGAAAAGGACTGAAACTGCACCAGTATAATGTGAAAAGGATTACAAGTCCTGAAGTGTTCAAAGCGCAGTGTGTAGCATTAGCTGCATTTAGAATCTGCACTCAGTGACTGAAGTTGAAGCATGTTTCTAGCCGGGGCAGCTCCGTATATCGTAAAACCCAGACTTGTGGATCTCAGCGTTTATTTGAAAAGTGAGTATGTATGAGAATCACCCAGGCAGCTTGTTAAAGTTCATCTTCCCAGGTTACAGTCCCAGTTGTTCTGATTCAGCAAGTGCAGAATGGGCCCTGGAATTTGCATTTTAATAGGCAGCCCAGATGATTCTGATGCAGACAATCTGAAAACCATACTTAGACACTGATCCGTGGACACCAGCGAGGCTATGAAAGATGAGGTCCCATCACATGCAGGCACATTGCTATAACTCATCCATTTGCTCATGCTTTCATTTAATAGATACATATTGAATGTTTGGCCTGTGCCTCCACACAAACATAAAGGGAGGGAAAACACATCTTGTGGTGCGCATGGTCTAACAGGAAGGAGAGAAGCATACCAACTGTCCTGGGACAGCATGGGGTTGGGGGGAAACACAAGCATTCTCAGGGCACAGAGGAGAGTGCCTGGCCCAGACAGCATCTGGGGAGGGGCGGGCAGGTGACATCAGAGAAGTGGGTCCCAAGGAGATGACCCCAAGGCTGAGGCTGGGTGTTGAGATGATGAAAACAGAGGAGAAACTTGGCAAGGTACAAAGTCTTGAGCCAGTTGGACATGTTGAGAGATTATAAGTCGTTCTGTATAATTAGAGTAAAAAGGCAGGTGTGTGTGTGTGCGCACACTCGCGCACTCATGTAAGGGTAAGGGAAGCAAGTCCAGGGAAGCACAGGGCCAGCTCAGAGTGGCCCTGTGCACAAAGTATGCCAAAGAGAGTCTCAGAAGGTGTTCAGTAGGGATGACATGTGCAGCTCTGCATTCTAGAAAGTTACTCGTGGCGACTCACCCGGGGGGGAAGTTACTACGTGCAAAGGTTAACACAGTTCTTTGCCTTCTACAAATGACTTCAGCTAAAAATACCTAGGAAGGGCTTGATGCTGCTCCCTGCTGTTCAGAGCAAAATTATCTCCTTGTGAGCTGATTTCATTTCTAACAAGGTCAAACTAATATTTTACATTGAGTTTGTATAAAAAAGAATGTTTAGTTTTTCATGTAATTAAAAAGAACAGCAACAGTAAAAAAAACAACTCCCATGTGAGTTCTAACTCTGGACTGGGTCTGGAAGCACATTTTTTTAAGTGGAGACTCACTTCACTTCTGTGAG